CGATAATTCATTGATGACAATTTAGTCATGTGACCTTCGCTAAAAAAAAATGAGCAATGAGCATTCATTTACGAGACATGACCATAGTTGTCACCTTTCGATTGTTCCATTAAAGAATCAATGGAATTCCCACTATTTTGCCAGAGATCAAAATTTGTGTTGTTTTCTAATATGTTTATAAAAAAAAGGATTATCTAAAAACCGATTTTTCTAAAAAGATTTTTTTAAAAACCGGAGGAAAATCGACACGTGCATTTAAAAAAAAAGATCACTAAAATTTTGAGCGGTTGGTTGGAGATTTTTCAAAAAACTCAAAAATTTCGAAAACCGGAGAGATGGCAACTATGGACACATGTATGTACCAAAGAGTGCGTAAGGCGGCCTATTTGTGATCAATCTGATGCAGACAGCACGGCTGCATCTTGCATGAGCGGTTTGTTGACCCAGCTTTCAGATAGTAAGGCAGATAAGGGAGATGGCGAGAAAAATGTCCCACTGCTGAAGATGGCTTTGACGCCTCTTTCGTCATCATCGTCATCGTCCATCGCCTACATCATCCGTCTCCTACTTCAGCTCATCCCCTACGGCATAGACTCTTCTGTCGTGTGATTAAGTACGATTGACGAGAAGTTTCCGAGTGTTTGAGCGTCTGTGACACGCGAATGTAGAACAAAGTCGTGACGAGACAATTTTTTTTTCCTTTCTTTTTCGTAGAATTTTTCCTCTCGCAAATTTCTCTGGTTTTCACGCGGATTAGTGAGAGATTGCAATCCAGTGTTTACGTCGCAGTACAGTGCCATCATGGGCTTGGAAAGGTGAGTGAGATCGTTTGTTTTTTGGATCTTTGTGAAGTTTTCATTAAAGAATTTCATCTGATCGCTCGTTTGGACTTTGGATATCATTTCTTTTTTTCAGACATGTATTAAAATAAAGAATTTATAAAATAAAACTACTCTGAAATAAAATTTATTAAATTTTAATACATATTTCTCTGAAACAACAATTAAATAATTTGCTTATACTAACTAAATATTTACTTAATAAAAAATGATGAATTAAAAATTAAATTAATGGTTTATATAAAATAAATATATGTTTACATTTAGTAAATATTTAGAACTATTCAAATAAATATTTATTAAATTTTAGTATTTTTTGAATGTGCAATCTATATATTTGATGAACATGATTGATATCTATTATATCTATAATTACTGTTTATCTAAGATTGCTTTGTTCTTTTATTTTACTTGATAAGTTAATTGCTGTCAGTTCAGACGATAAACATAATATTCGCTTTGATATTCTATCATATCAATATTGTTATTGCAATTAAATATGTGTCAG